CAATACAGGTCTGCAACGTAGGGTTTATCTCTGCCGGCTTTAGGTTTAGTTTGGGACTATAATTGTTTTATCACTGGTGGTTTACACTGTGTGTGTGGAGATTCTGTGTACAGTGGGTAAATTGCTGTGTGTGATTTTTGGTTTGCCTGAATACTGAAATCTGCCATTTTATTATTTTAACTCAACAGGAGGTCTCACATTGCTGGAAGAAGTGTCCACAATCAGAGGTGATTGACTACACGTTAGAATACTTGATGTAATATATTATACCATTACTGAAATAAAACTTTATGCAATGATTAATTATATATTTTTAATCTTGACACTTAACACAATTAACACAGAATCGTATCCAAAGATTAACAATCTTGGAATTGAAGTGCCTATTTTGGGTGTTTTCAAATACATGTATATGTTGTAAATGTAAATAAGTTATTTCCAAAGGAAGTAATGATTTCATATGAATATGCTCACAATATGAGCAGAGAGTACAAACATGTTTAGGGGTTGTCTATGTTAGTTATGTGAGAGAGTTATTTGTAGATTAAACAGTATTTTCACCAGCAGTCAAAAACTAAAGTGTACACTTATGTCTGCATTTTTATTTGTTTAATACTAACAACATGATAGCAGGCCACGTGTCTGGCCAGAAAGAGAGTAACAATTTGTTTATCTGTGAAAGGCTTCAGTTAATTAAGAGTGACAAAACATAATCATTCCCATTTGCAGTTTTGTATTCTTATATATTGTATTCTTATACAATATTTAAAATTGGAAGTTTTATTTTATTATACTTTTTTGATTTTATTAAATATTTGTGTGTATTTTGTATTAGTTGAAGTGGCCCCTCCAGTGCATTGACAGTGCCAGCAGCGACTAACAGGTCATTTAAGTTTAAGACCCCTGATCTATAAAAACCACACCCCTGTAGGTCAGTTTGCCACCTTTAAATGTCATTTCCAGTTTTCTGAGTGTAACCTACTCCTTTTAGTCTGAGCAGTCTTTTAACTTTTTTGAAATTTTACAAGTTACATAGAAGCTTGGTTTGACCAAAGGTTCAAAATCAGCAGCAAATTTCTAGAATGACAAACAATGACAACTGTTTCAGATATCCACATGTATTTATTAAAGCTTTGATTGTAAGACTTGGATAAGTTGTTGACCATCATGATGCCATTTTCTCTTAAAGTTTTGCTCTGACTCCCGATGACTTATTGGAGTGAAAAAAGACAGTCGAAACAGTTGTAATTATCCCAAAAATGTTTTTCCTTGAATTTAAAATAGTTTTGAACAATAAATAACTGTACAAATAGCAAAACTTAAATGTGATGCTGTGTACAACCTTTTGAGAAATATGTCAAGATGCATAACAGACACTTTCAAATTGTTTCCATTACATCAGATGAATTTAGCACTTTTGAACAGCAATTGGATGTAGTGATG